ACAGGGAGAGACAGGGAGAGAGAAAGAGAGTGAGAGAGAGAGAGACAGGGAGAGACAGGGAGAGACATGGAGAGACAGGGAGAGACATGGAGAGAGAGAGAGAGGCGGGTACAACTAAGGCACGCCGTTGCTGAGCTCGTGGTGAGAAGGCGCAGAGGGAGGGGCTTAAAATCTGGCACGCGACCGTATGCATATTTATGAAGGAAGGAATGCGAGGAGGAAGAGGAGCGAGGAAGGCGTACACACAAAATGAGACGCGACTATAAAATCGGAGGAGGCGGAGGCACTGAAGCAATTTTGATACCAAAACGGTCGCTGCTGTTGTTGTCACTTTAGCTATTTCGAAAAGTCTTTCGGATTCTCCAGAAAAGCCACATGAGCGGAGGAGAGGGGGGAGCTCTTCACGCTCTGACGTACACTGCTGCTGCTGTTGTAACAATCTGGACAATGATGAGCAGTTCAGGAGATAGTAGGACGCGCTTTGACTTTTTCACTGTCTCGTCTCATGGGTAGGTGGTATAGATCACAAGGAGGTGGACGGGGAACAACAACAAAAAACTGTGCGCGTGCTTTGTGGACTCTTTACTTCCGGAAAACACAAGTGAAGGACAAGACTCTGACGCCAGTTTTCAAAAAGACTTTTTCGACATTCTGAACATTAACATTAATCCTTTTGTAACAACCGAGGGAAATATGTGAACAAACTTTTATATTAATTGAACTTTATGATTGTATTGAGAGTTTCATTCCACTAAAAGAAATGTAAATTGACAATGTGATAAACACAACAATAGCAGCTAAGGGGCCCGTGCAATAATCTTCATGTCTATGAAACTCAATATAAAGTCTAGTCAAAATATAATCCTATGTGTACTCATAATCCGCGACAGATGAGCTGTATTGTAAATATTGTGACATAAGTGTTGTGTTCTGTGGAGAAATATGTTTTACGGCCTATAAAAGTGCAATAACATTGTATAATATAAGTGTCCATTTCCGATGTGCCTTATGCTAGGTATACGACAAAGGTTTATGATAAACAAACTGTAAACGTAGTTCTTAGAAAAGTGTAAATGTTTCGTAGAATACAATATAAACCAACGTCTCTTATTTCAAGAACATCTTATCGTGTAGACAAGTAGTAGTTCAAAGTCATGTTTTACGTAGTTACTTTTTTCGCTTGAATTCATAATCATTTGAAACAAAAACCCGAACGACTTCTCAGTTCACCACATCACTTGATTAAAATTAGCGTGAAACATTTGTTGTGATAAAAAAGATATAAAGAAAACAAAATCAACCCTACTTTGGAAATAATTGTAAGAAAATAAAAACAACTCTTATCTTTACTCCCTTCTCAACAAAATTGCATTCCTGTGCCTTGAGTGCTTACGTGCCCTTATTTCAGTCATTCCCGATGCCTTATGGTCAACTCCTGTCTTCAGTTCTGCAGTAGCACCGGCGTGGCCCCCGCCCGTCTCACGTGACTGCCCGCAAACTGAGGTGGAGAGCTAACTCCAAATGCAATAATACATCTTTTCTCGTTTTCTTGGACAAAAATCCCCAACTGTTCTCGGCCTTTTCCCTCGTCTTACCGGTATATTTTACCTATTATTGTGTGCAATACTTTTTTTGGGACTTATTCTAGAAATCTTTCACATTTTTTATTAATCGATGTCTGTATAAATTACTAAGTGGCGTGCCTTGTCTTTTTGAGTAACTCAAATGTGCAATACTTTTCTTTCAAAACACGGCAACTAAATAATAGTGCTAACTGTTTTGATGAATTGTGCAATAAGTGGATTTTTGATTTACATACGTATCGTGTCATTTTATTTCTTATACCTATACAGATTTTTGAAATGTATATATCTATTTAGAAAAGCCTTATAATATTTGTCTTTACTAAGTTGTGCAATACTACAGAGTACGAGAGTTTGCCGTTCCTCCATTGCTGTACAGTGAATACCCGCTAAGAAATCTCTGAGATAATTTGTTGTTACTGTTTTTCTCTGTTATTATTCGAACAGCTGACATAATAACAAATAATACGAAACGAAGTCTAATATCTATACATATATTATATAAACCTTTACTTTTTGTGCAATACCAGAGCCCACATAGCAATGAGTAAATAAGGGATACATTTCCTCTCAAGTGCAATATCACAACCAAATTAGTACCGGGTAAACAAGGGGGAATAATTTGTTTTAAGAAAGTGCAAGGATGCCACGTCACTTCCTTGTGAAGCGTCACAAACACGTCGGTCTGCCGGCCGGCTACAGGGACCTGGTCCACGACGAGGTCAGCCTGCTCCAGGAGGAGTACCGGAACCAGCTCAGCTCAGACGCCAACAGCGCCACCTACACCACCACCACCAACAGCAGCAACAACAGCAGCAGCTTGACGTCAGAGCCAGGACGCCACAGCGTGATCCTCCGTGACAGGGACTTGATGAACGACTACGGCAGTTACGGCTCCCCAGACTCGGGCTACGCCGCCAGCCCCAACAGCAACAGGGAGGTGAGGGAGAAGGAGAACATCCTCAACTACAGAGAGAACAGTCACAAAAACAGCCACCACCTGGGCCCCCACCACCCCCACCACCACGACTACCGTGCCGAGAACAACAACCTGGCCTGTAAAGCTTTCTACGAAGATTTCCACAACCACTTCCATAACTCCTCCGAGCTGTGTGAGGTCGGCGAGTTTCATCGTGGGCTCGCTATGGAGCATGACGACGACGCTCCTATGGACTTGAGCATGGGGAGCAGGAAGAGACGGGGGGATCACGACCACGCTCCGATCTCTCCCCCGCCCCAGCCGCTCCCAGAGTCGGCCCACCACCCTGCCCTCCCCCGGCACTGCCTGTCTCCCTACAGCACCAAAAGTGTCGTGGACAACTCAGCAGCGGCGGCCACAGCAGCGGCCATCTACGCTAATTCCTTCAAGCAGTTTAATCTGGGTAACAAAGCCGACCTGGCAGCTTACTCCAAAGTCCTCCCTCTCTCCCAGCGGCCCGCCTCTTACACCATGGAGAGTCTCTCCATACAGATGCCCCCTCTCGAGACAGCCCATTCATTCCCTGCGCCAAGAAACAGAATATCCGAGCCAGTCGTTCCCCACAAATATTCTGCGTCAAATCTGTCTCACATCTCCAATCTGAGTCAGTCAGGGCAATGCATAAATGTGGCCACAGGAGAAGCAACAATAACAGCAGCACAGCAACAGCAGCAACAGCAGCAACAGCAGCAACAGCAGCAACAGCAGCAACAGCAACAACGGCTTCCTTTAAGAGCAGCAGCATCCCCCACCTCCTCTCTCCCCCCTCTGGTCAAAGTCACAGGCCCGGAGGCCAGTCATCAGTACAACACGGGCGTGCTAAAGCCCCCATCTCCTGTACACCATAAACCATCTAGCAGAAAAAGAACTCATGACGACGACAATGACGTCACAGAAGGCGTTAAAACCAACGTGTCCACGGTTACACAAGCCCACGATCTGTCCGCCAGGACAGTTCTGGAGATCCCCCTGAAGAAAACAGCCCCACCACCCTCTTCAACAAGCTTACCGTCATCCTCATCAACGACAGTATCCTCTTCATCATCATCGTCGTTATCATCATCATCAGATCTCACCTCCTCCTCGATCGCCAGCATGTCTCGGTCAGCACCGACCACGCCGCAACAAGCCAAGACGTCATCATCTACGTCAGCAGCCGGACACAGGTCACGTGCCGGGGACACAGCGCCGGTGGTCAGGAAGGGGTCATCCGGGACACCGGCGGGCAAGCGGCTCAAGGCGGTCAGGAAACTGAACTTTGACATCGACACCACGTCCCCCGTGTCTGGCACCATCATCAAGGACGCCTCGGACTTCCACCCGGTGAGACGAGAAACTTTGTTTTGTTTAGTCTAGTGCTGCTGTGTCTTCTCTTTCATTTGTCTCTTTTTGTCTCTGTTCCTGTCCATGTCTCTGTCTGTTCCCCGTCTGTGTCTCTGTCTGTCTCTGTCTCTGTCTGTTTCTGTCTCTGTCTCCTTCTCTGTCTCTGTCCCAGTCTCTGTCTTTTTCTCTGTCTCTGTTTTTGTCTCTCTCGCCGTCTCTGTATTTATGTTTCTGTCTCTGTCCCTGTCTCTGTCTCTGTATATATCTGTCTCTGTCTATGCCTCTGTCTCTATCACTGCCTCTGTTTTTATCTCTGTCTCTGTTTCTGTCTCTCTCGCACTCTGCGTCTGTATCTGTCCCTGTCTCTCTACGTGTCTCTCGCTCTCACCTTCACTCATTCCCTCGCTCCTTCTCCCTCTTCCCTCCCCCCCCCCATCTCACCCTTCCCTGATTTCTCTTTCTCCTTTAGTTCCACACTCAGTCTCTCATGAAAGTTTTGTTCTACCCCCACCCACTCTCTCTCAACCTTTCTCTCCCACTCCCAATCTCTATCCCCGTCCCCTCTTACCCCCTTTCCATCCGCTCTTTCCCCCACCCCCTCCCCTCTCTCCCTCTTCTATTTTCTTTCTCGTGCCATGGTTTTTCTCTCATTGTCTCCTTCTACCCCCCCCTCCCCAGCTCTCTCTCCCTCTTTCACTTTCTCTTTTCCTCCCATTTTCCTCTCGCTCTTACAGCTGTGCCTACTTTCACAGTAATGAAATGGCGCTCATATAACGTATGCAGTTCCGAGCGCCATAAAACCTTACTAAAACAAACAGTAATGGGGATGCTTTCATGCCCTCTTCGGCAGAAGTTAGATCTTTTAGGAGACGGGCTTCGACCCAGCTAGTCAGAGATTCAATGTCACAATAAAAAGACTGGGATTCTCGATTTAAAAAATAATTTTCCCCAAACTGGAATCGAGCCTGTGTCTTCTGTGTGCGCCGGCGCAGTGCCTAACCTCTACACCATTGAAACCTGCTGTCCGGCTCTGACCGCGTGTCAACTACATCAGAGTAAACAAAGTCAGTGGGTGGTTGGCGGGTGCTCTGGTGTGGTTTGCTCCTTCTTTCCTATCAAACATCTATCGTCCTGATCTCTCCTCCTTCTTTTTTGTGTTTGTTACTCTCTTGTAACACCTCTAATCTTCGGCACTTATGTGACCTTATTGTGTTGCAAGTGCCGTAAAATACTTACTAAAACTAAACCAAAACAAAGTCCTTCTTTTGTCTAACATTCTGTCGTTCAGAACCGTAGATACACGTAAGATAAATGATGCTATAATATTGTAAAAGGAACACTCTATACGATACTTCCGAAGATTCTGGATAATGAAATTAAATGAAATACTTTTTCCCACTACCCTTTTGAAAATCTATGTCCATGTACACACTCAGTCTGGGCCAGACGTCGAGGACATTATAATTTATCAGTTTACCATCTTTTTTGTTGAGTATCTTCTTTTTTTTTCGTTTCATCGATGCTTGAGCACGTTCAATGCCCAAGGTACTTCAAAACTTCAAACACGCAGCCGCACGAATTAATTCGATATTTTCTTCCCCCTACCTTTGGCCGTCCTTTCCTTAAACAACTCGTATATATATACATAACTCCATCCCCATGCCCTCCCCTTTCTCATTTCTCTGACTCTTTCTTAGCCTCATGCATCCCCCCCCTCCCGCTCGGTCTCTCTTTTCCCCTCTCTGTACATGTTTCTCATCCTTACCCTGCCCCTCCCCCGAAAAAAACCCCCCCAAAACCCCGTCCACTCTCGTCCTTATTCCACATCCGTGCGATGGTAACACCTTTCCTCTAAGGGCTTGCACAATGAGCAATGTCAGTTGTTGATTTAATGCACCCTGCATTTCTATCTTTGAAAAATGATTGGAATGCCTTTGAGCCTTTTGTACACTGGATTTTCTGTCAATATCTTCAAGTTTTCTTTTTATTGTGAAACATCTCTCTCTCTCTCTCTC